CCCCATCCATGGACTTCAGCTCCAGGATTTGGGATCTACCAAGCCTTGCTTCCTTCTCCTCAACGTCTTTTTGGGGTTGCTTGGACTCTCAGTTTCTGCCCAGGACAGGTTGGGCCTTAACCTTGCCTGCTCAGCTCTTTGGAGCCGATGTCCTGCTTCCTAAAGTGGACATACAGTACATTGATTAGTGCTGGATTTATAGGTGGTATATTCAGTCGTGTTAGATGTGATTTTATTATTTATACTTTTTAAACATTCTGACTTCTTTTGTATTTGGCATAACCCTAGACTTAGTGAAAAATATGTTCTAAGCCTATGAGATCTTGGTGGCTGCTTTACTTTGACAAGAGCACTACAGTAAGGCTATGGTGAAGTACAAGCTTGTCATACACATACACACTGTCAGATGCCTCACAGTGATATATTGATTTCATTTTGTAACAGTCAAAACCCTCCCTTTACACCATTTCTTCAGAATTTCACTCCCTAACTGAAGCGTAAGAAACCCATTGATGAGTAAAAAGGGAATCAAATATGAAAACATACGTGTAATTGCTTACAAAAAGCCGATTAGAATGGCTATTATAATAAAAAAAACTACCTAGGCAATTTCTGTCCAAAATCACAACTTTTGCTCCATTTTGAGTTGCAGAAAGCAGCCTTCGTGTGGCCAGACATGGATCAGTGGCAGCTGCCTCGGTTTTCAACACTGGGCTTCATGCTCCTTGGGGAAGAAGCTGTGGACCCCCCCCCCCCCCCCCCGCCGCCAAAGGGCTTGTTTGGAGACTTGCTCCAAAGGCTCACACAACCCTTAAAAGGCTTTGATGAAAACTTGGGAGATAGTCCCTAGGAAAAACATCCCTATCACCACACCCAGATTAAAAAACAAACACAAAGTCTATTCTAAAAATCTTTCCAGGGCTGTCACAGGAAGATCAAAAAAGCCCAGCTTACGATGACACTGTATTTGAGAGCTCATCCATTCGACAGCCTTCCCTAATCAGTCATCGGGTAGGAACAGGTGACAAGCAGATACTTGCACTCACGTGACCTCGCTGCTGCCAGCACAGGGCAAGAACAGAACAAACAGCAGGTGTGGTTCAGTATCCCTGGCTGCTGATCAAATGGAGGACAGAGCAGAAAGACCTGGAGTCCAGAGAGAGCTGACTGATCTGATAAGAGGACTGGGTTATGGCTCCCCCCCACCCCCCACTGCCACGGCTGCACAAACTCTCTCCTCAGTTAGAAACCATCCAGGCAGCGGCTACGTGGCAGCACCCTGAGATTCTTTTCTGTGGGAATGCATTAGCATTCCCTTTATTTTTTTATCCTGCTTCTTAAAGACACAAAAGAGAACTTCCAGAACTGCTTCAGAAAGAGGCAAGGATGATGCCGTACATGGGTTTAAAGCGAAGAGTATTTTGAAGGCAATCAAATGCAATGTGTGTTTCACTGTAATTTTAAAAATGTAAACTTTCACTACATACTATGACCACATTGTGTAACTCTCCTGATTTCTAGAAACTAAGTTATCTCAAAACACCCAAAAGCAGAACTTCACCCAACACTCCACTGTTCTCTTAGCTGGATGAAAAGGTACTTTTCAGAGCCAGTTTTGGCAGCAAGGTGCAGGGGACAGAGAGAGAGGAGTGTGTGTCTAGCTCCCCTCTGGACTGGCCCACAGGACTAAGTGTCTCCCCTCAAGTGTGCTTCCTGAGCTGGGAGAGGCATCACAGGCACATTTCCAACTTCTCACCCTTCCTCTTTCCCCAGCCCTTCACCCTGTGCTTGCTTCTGAGAGCCTCAGTACAATGTCTGCATGCAAGCAAACCTGAGCAGATTTCTTAGCATGGATGTTACAATTTATACACATACAGTGTACAAGAAACACCAAGTAGCTAGATGTGGTGGTGGGTCACTCTAATCACAGTATTCTGGGAGGCTGAAGCAGGAGGATGACAAGTTCAAGGCCAGCTGGAGTGACTTATCAAGACTCCGTTCTGAAATAAAAGAAATAAAAAATGATGGGAATGTAGAGCATCACTCCATGGGTTCAATCTCCAGTACTGGAAAAAAGAAACAAAAAGAAAAGAAATGCCATCTTTCCCTCAGAAACCTGTGCAGAAACCCTAAGCACAGGGGATCTGAATCAGACAGACCTGTGCTCAAGTGGTGTTGCTGCTGTGACCGACTTCCTGATGATCATGGAGACCCGCACCCCGAGTGTCATCATCTACAACACCGCATGAACGTTCAGCCTCTGAGACTAATGGTGAGCGTGGAGTGTTGTGAGGGCGCCGCACCTGGGAACTGCTCCCTTTCCTTCCGGGGACCTGGGGGGCCGCCTTTCAGTCCCGGTTATTACCTTGGAGCTTGGTCTAGTCGTTAACTGATGAGCTCGCAGGCTGATATCTGAATGGCCCCTATTTATTTTTAAGCTCTGAAAGGAAGACCTTTTTAAAACGTTGAAACTGTTTTATACACACTCACAAAGTACACATATCGTAACTGTGCACCTTAGTGAATTTTCAAAACCTAAACGCACTGTGCACTCCATCTGTTTTCGTAAGTCTTTTAAAAACAGTCATTCTGTCTGTTTATGTCTACATCCGTGGCTGCTTTGGCCTGCGGGGCAGCTTTGGATGCAGGGCAGAGTGGAGTGGTTGAGGTGGAAACCATATGGTCTGCAAGGCTGAAAATACTATCTGGCTCTTCCCAGGAAGAAGTCTGTGTAGTATTCCATTGTGTGACTGCAGGGACATTTGTTTATTCACTTTCCTCTTGGCGAGCAGCTGGGGAGATTCCACTTTGGGGCTGTACTGTGTAATCTGCTGTGAACATCTCAAGGGCGTCTTTGGTGAAACGTTCTTGTGCATGTGAGACTATTCCTGAAAGCGGAATTGCCAGGACATAGGGATGATGTAAACTTAAGCTTGTGAAAAGTGGCTAAAAGTGGCTGTGCTCGTCCCCTCCCCCAGGGAGGTGTCTTCCAGCCCCGCTTGCTCCACATTCCTTTGCACTGGGCCCTGTCTGACTGGGCTTTCTCCTCATTTTGATGTTTGTCTCCCTCTATAAGTTGTTTCTATTTGCGCGCTTAGGCTTGGTCCTTTCCTGACAGAGCCCTTGCAGGGGAAACTGTTTCATCTCTGTAACCTCCTCATGGCATAGAGAGCTCTCTCTGCTGTAGTGGCCTTCAGATATTCAAACAATCAGTGCTCACATTCCCTCTGAACACCATCCTCTCCAGGAAAAGGAGCACCTATTTCTAGTCTCCCTCTCTCTCTCCTTCTCCTTCTCTCCTTCTCTCCTTTTCCCTCTCTTCCTCTCTCCCTCTCTTCCTCTCCCTTTCTCTCTCTCTGTATGCCTATGCATGTGTGTTACTGGCGACTGAACACAGGGCTTTCATATTGAGATACATTCCCAGCTCTTTACAAAATATTTTAAAATTTTGAGACAGGTCTTACTAAGTCACTAAGTTGCCCGAGCTGGGCTTGAATTATTTGTGATCCTCCTGCCTCACTCAGCCTCACAGATTTCTGGATCACAGGCATGTGCCACCATGCCTGATTAATTGCTCGTCTCTTTAACAATTTTCAAAATACATGGTTTTGCCACCTAGCATCCTGATGAACATGTGTGACCTCTTTGGGCTTTAGGTTCCCCATCTATCATATAAAGAGGTTCAATTTAAAAATTTTAGAGTCATTTTAACTTCAAATCCTTCTGCTAAATGTCATTGTGGGGATTCTGGAAGAGATCCCCACACATATCTCCAGGCTAAGGATTTCTTTCTTCCTAATGCTCCTAGTGCCCTCTCCTGTGCAGCTGCTGACAGCAGAGGATGCAGACACTCATCCGTTTTCTACTTCTGCCACACAGTTCCCAAGTGTGGAAGACGTTAGAGGCACTGCACGAGAGCTCAGGATGATGAGACTGATAGAAGTCTCTCCTGCAACAAGCATAGTCTAGGCAGGAACGGAGGGGGCAGTGTGGAATGAGCACTCAGAGGACCCTGTAGCATCCATGGGAGGTTGTAATTGTGCCAAATGCATCTTTAAAAGGCACAAGTCATGGGAAATGTCAAGGCCAATGAACATCACTGGAGGCTACAGGGTAACTGGGTAAATGGGGGAAGGGAGGAAAGGATTTTGCCTTTGCCCTGTGGCTGGGACTTTGGCCCAGGGCTTTGCTTCCTTTAGAGCCTGGAACAGCAGAGGTTTCAACCTCAACAGTCTAAAGGCTGACCTCGTTTGTAGCAAATAATGCCCAGCCGACTCTCTTTTCTGCTTTGTCCTGACACAAGTGTAAGTAACATGTGAAGACCAAAGAACAGGTCAGCAAACCCAGGTGGCACACCTTTCTGCTATTTAACTTAGCCAAACAGTGTCAAAAGGTAAAAGCATGGTGGAGAAAAGGAAAATGCTAATTAGGGTTGTGAGATGTTAATTCCATAAAGTCTGATAGAAAAATGGCTTTGACTATTTTATGACAATTCAGCACTCAGGTATTAATTAATTTAAGCCCCCTCCAAGTCCCTATAGTGAACACTGTCATCCTTGTTTACAACTGGGAAAGCTGAGGTGGAGAAAGTTTTGACAGGGAACCATTTGTGAGGGCAGAGCCAGCATTTACCTTCAGTTATCTCACTCGGCCTTGTGATGGTAATCCAAGAGCAGGATGATATCAGAAAGCTTTGCCTTCAGGACTTTCAGTTGCAGGACAGAATCAGGGCTGAGAGCCAGTAGCTGTGTGTTAGAATGGTGAGCTGGAAGGAATCCCAGGGTTCATTTGCCCTCCCAGCCACTTTCCAGAAGGGCTGAGAACAAGTGTCATCAGGGTGCTGTCATCCAGAGGAGGAAGGGAGGCCAGGCAGGCCAGGAGGGTTGGAGCTTCACCCAGAGTGAGTTACTCCAAGTTCACACAGCCCTCATATGGATAAAAAAACAAAACAAAGCAAAACACACACACAAAAAATCAATGTGAATTCGAGCCTGCACTATAACAAAATCTGTATTTGGTCATTTGCTGGATGTCTCTTCTTTGTACCAAACGCAAGCAAGACAACCTTCCCAATTATCAAATTATCCAAGCACAGAGTCAGCCAGCTCTGTAGAAGGCAAAGGATGCCAAGTGGGCAAATTACATTAAGGGTCCTGTCTCAGTCACTTTCGTCACTGCTGAGACATCATACACAGCACCCACAAACTAAAGGAGGCACGATTTATTTGGCTCATGCTTCAGTCCATGGTTGCCTGATTCCAAGGCAGAACGGATGGCAGAAGGATTTGGTGGAGGAAAACTGCTCACTTCATGGCAACCAGGAAGCAGAGCAAAAAGGGAGGAGTTAGGGAGAGAGACACACCCTTCTAAGGCCAGCCCCCTCGGGACCTCTCCCCTCTGATTGGACGCCAGTTTACAGAGCAAGCCAGTGATACAGACCTGTTATCCAATCACCTTCCAAACACACAAGGCTTTGGGGCCATGTGAGGTTTAAACCATAGCCGGTCCAGCTCTTCACTCCTCCCTATATGACTCTGCCATGTGACTTCTCCCTAGAAAAAAGCACAGTGCATTTCCTGCCTCTTTATTTTGAGTTTGATCATGTGACTTGCTTTGGCCAAGAGGAAAGACTCAAAAAAAGCAATGGATGTTTCTATTTGCATTTGTTTTTCTTCTGATGTAAGAGAGGGATCTGGTGAGGGTGGCTTGCTGTTCCAGCAGGAAAATGGAAGCCACATGATGCAGAACTGACCCAGCCAAGCAGAGTTCAGAGCGATGTCCCCACTCAACCTGCCCCACGTGAGTAAACCTGGCTGAGCCTAACCCCGACCAGCTGAGTCCCGTATGTACCCCAGGGAGCTCCAGTAATGAATGGCTATTGTTTCATGCCACTGAATATTGGGCAGAATACAAGCAGCAAAGGCTAACTTTGCACTTGTTTTTTTTTTTTTCAGATTGCTATCAACACACCATAAGTGTGTTGTTACCCATATAAATGATGCTACTATCTTGCCTGCTGCATTTGGTAAAAACAAGTTGCCCATCTGCTGCTTTGTGAATTGACCCACACAAATTCTTCACCAAAATGTTAAACGCACATTGCATGTTCATGCAAATAAAGTCTTGAAATATGTCAAAGTCTTCTTTTTCTTTCAGTAATTTTTCACATATCACACATTTTGGTTAAGCTCATGTCCTGAATTTTCTTCAGAGAAAGATTGTATGAAATCAGCTTGTCTCCTGTGGTTAGACTGAATATGTCTGTGAATTACAGATAACTAGGGATTAGTTTGGGATAAAACTGTTTACTGGAATACATGTGTTTTCTTATAGTGCAGTTCTCCTCAGAAGAACATTTAAGGATTGTTTCACACTCTTGAATATGATAAGTGTATAATTTATTTCCACAATTTCAAAATTAAAAATACAGTTACAGATTTTACTTGTTACCATTTTAAAAAATCCAGAGTAGATAACTGTAAAATGGAATTAATTTTAAAAAGCACAGATTCAGTAAAACATAGGAAAGATATGTCATATTGTTACTTTAAAATATTTAATCACTAGCACCCTGATGTGTGTTGATTTTAATAGAGGTCCTAAAATTTTAATATTTGAAAACCTTGCTTTGGAAGCCAACTTCTGGATGCTGTTATAAGCAATGAAACCTTTCATTAGGTCATTTTTCCCTAGCAGGAGTGGCTGGATGTACCGGCGTGGGTATGCATCTCCCACAGGCTCACCTGCCTTAGCACAAGGAAGTGAAGCCCAGGGAGCCAAGGGCCCTCCTACCCTCTGAATGATGATCTGGAGTTAGCAGGGGATTTTGCTGCCAGAAGAGCTAAGCCTGCGGCTAGATTCCTGGTTAGTCTGTGTGCACGCCTTTCATGATTTAGTAGATGTTTAAGGGGGACAAAGCAGGACCAAGTGGACATTCAGGAAACGTTTGCCTGCCTGTTTCTCTATCCATTGGTCCAACCGCATGTGAGGCTTGCTGTCCTTGTTTGTGCTGCCTGGCAGTAACCGCCAGGAGAGCCTTGCTCATCCTCCTCATCTTACCTGGAACTGTGGAAGGCTGACCACTCAGCTGTCGAGGCTTTGGCTTGGCCTTCGGAAAAACATTTTATAAATAAACAGGCTTTAATATTGGAATCTTGAAAATGTTTTAGCAGATTTGTACCACAAATAATCCACACAACTAGGTACATTTGAGGTGTTCCCTGCTCAGGACACATTACTATGCCTGGTTCACGGTATCTGCTCAATACTGGTGCCCAGGCACCCCATTTTCCTGGTCCAGAGAGCTAAAATAACAAAACTGTGTTTTTCAGGATGAACTTACTATGAAGTAGATCAAACTATAGAGCCCAGGGTCAAATCCTCCTTGCTACCTATTTTTGCAAATAAAGTTGTGTTGGAACGTGGCCGCATCTTCATTCACATAGTGGCTGCTTCCAGCCATGTGGAGCACTTTCCGCAGACACCTTGTGGCCTGCAACACTGAAAATCTTTGCTATCAGTCTCACTGCAGAAAAAAAGCATTGTTGATTCCTAACATTGATGGATAGCTTTCATTTCTAGTTGTGTTCTAAAAACACTAACAAACGAAACTATGCATTTTGGAGTCATAAAATTGGCTGGACTTGTGCTTTACAACTTGAAAAATAAACAGTACTTATATTTTTGTTGTAGTGTTTTTAATTTGGTTTTATACTTTAGAGTCTGTGGAGGTCCCAAACAAGAACACCTCTGGCAGAGGAGGGGAGTAAGAGTCTCTGGATGGTTAGCAGGAAACAGAGAGGGCAGAGGGAAGAGGTGGACATGGTAGTAACCCAGCGCTTTCTTCTGCCTCAAAAAGAGCCTGCTTCTTTCCCCCCTGGCCTGGCATCAAAGTAGACAGATAAAAGCCAGGCTTTCTTGTTGACCCAGGCCACAGGGACACAGACCAAAGTGACAGCTTTACATGGCTTGATTAGCATTTCAAAAAAGACATTATAGCTAACCTGTACTGTTTTAACTGCTGTCTAGAACTTTGATTTATTCAAAATGTATGGAAGGCCCATTTTCTGTTGGGCAATTGAACTTGTGCCCTGAAGGAGGATTCAGTTTTCATTTTCATTAAGCAAGCCGACTACTCTACACCGGACAGGCCCAGCAAACACACAGGACTCTGGCCTCAGCCCACCTGTTCTGAGGAGGTGACTTTCAAAGAAAGATCTGGGTAAGGAGAAATATTAGTCAAGCAAAGAGGAGCAGGGGAAGGAAAAATAAATGACTGTGTTCTCAAGGAAGAGAGCAATGAAGTCCTCTAAGGAGTCTGCAGAGACTGGAGCAGGGTTTGAGCTGGTGACCAGCACCTGGCAGAGGAGAACCAGGATGCGGAAGACCTTGTGGGCATCAGCCAGAAATGGAAGGAGGCTTTGCTGGTGAGTGTGACAAATTCCCGCATGGTCTGGTGTTATGTTCTGTCTCTGTCTCTGCCTCTCCACAGAGAGCATCCCTGTGAGGACCTCAGACCTATACTTGGTGACCTCACCAACACACACCATGGCTCGTACAATAACCCTCTGGAGCTGGATGTGGTGGCACAGGCCTGTAATTGCAGCACTCAGGAGGCTGAAACAGGTGGTCTGCTGGGAGTTCTAGGCCAGCCTAAACTACATAGCAAGACCCTGTCTCAAAAAACCAAACCAAACCAAATCAAACCAAACCAAACCAAACCTCCCATGGAACTAAGGAAATTTCTAGGTTAAGGGATGACCAGAGCTAAAACAAGAAAGTCCCAGGCCAGCTGGAATTGGTTGGTTTTAGTGCCATTCAACCCATATAGACTGGTAAGGTTTAGCAAACAGCAGGTGCTCAGAGCCCCTGTGCTGTGTCCCTACTGGCAGGGTTGACCCCCTGACACAGCAGGGGAATTTTTCCCATGAGCCAGTGGCTATGCTGTACCTGTTGATGAATGACACCCCCCCCCCCCAGATTAACTTCATGTCCTTGTCCTTCTTTCTGCTTTCTTTTGCCTGGGTTGGTGCTCACTTGAGAGTGGGCATTCTCAGGAATCTTCAGGACAACTGACACCATACTAGGGGAAGGAAGGGTTGTGGCAGCCAAAGATGCTGGACACACAAATGTTCCTTCACTTGTCCTCCTTCTGAGCCCTTTTGGAGATGGCAGCCTGAACACATTCACTGGAGGCTGCAGATGATTTTGCACTCAGACACAGCAAAGGCCACTCTGACTCCTAGAAATGGCGGTGGACAAAGTCAGATGGTAAATGTGCAAAAGAGCCCCGCAGGTTTTTGTCTACTTGAATAGCTTTATGCAGCACAATGAACTAGAAAATTGTGTCCTTTAGGTGAGACTCCATTTTTAAACAACTGATGATAACTAAGATTTGCATGGCCACTTTTCAAAGCAGAAACATTTCTGTCCTTGTCAGGTACTTTAGGAACATTATAATGTGCTTCTGATGAGGGTTTTGCTCAGCTACTTCTATAACAGGTTGAAATCTGCATTGGGGTTATCCTTCGTGCATTAGGTGAGGAAGATACCTGATCCCCAAGGTCCAGCCCCGTGGTCACATTCCTTCTCCCAGGACAGTAAAGGAGCAGCCAAGGGCTGTCTCCTGGCTGGGCTCAGCCAAGGGAGACTGGCAGGATGCCAGGAATCTGGGAGCAGAGCAGAGTTCAGACATGCAGCCCTCAGGCTCCTTTTCTGATACTTACAAAGGGTCAGTAACATGTCTTGCTGAAGGTGGCCTTCTCTCTGCAGGCGCTGTCCTGTTCTGGGTTTGGGTCCCAACTCCAAGCATTGCTCTTGCAGGCCTGGGGTTGGAGGAAGGCACCGAGTAGTGCATTGTTTCCCTTTGACTTCCTTTTACTTTGATAAGAATCCTTTTCTTAAAAAAATAACAACAAAGACAAAGGGTTCCTGTTCTTAGGTAGCCCTGTTAGAGGTGTCATTTACTTTTCTGGGGGCCTGACTACTAAGGAGCTGTCCTGCAGTGTGACAAGAGATAGCTCTGAGGCACTTGGGAATGGAGAGCACAACACTGACCAGTTGCCTCCATCAAGTAGATCCCATTAGCCTGGAATCTAATGAGCAGTGTTCCCGTTTCTTCCTCAAGTTTAAGCAGTATTTGCCATAAAGAAATCCCACCCACTGGGTGGCCTGGGTGGGCATTTATTGTCTCTCAGGTTTGTTCTGCAATAAACCTGTCCTAGTGAGCTCAGACCTCTGTTTCTTCTTTTTATTTTCCCTAACAGTCCTAAAGTCCTTTTCTTAAAAGACCGCCAGCCTACCATGTTGGAGCATGCCTGTTATCCCAGCACTTGGGAGGCTGTGGCAGGAGGCCTACCATGAGTTTGAGGCCAGCCTGAGCTACACAGTGAGTTCAAGGCCAGCCTAAACTACACATGAGACCCTGTCTCAAACCAAAACAAAAATATCAAAAAGAAACAATGACAGCCACCTTCGATTAGGTTCCACATGGATGACCTCGTTTTATGTTACCACTTTACAGACTTCTCTCCCAATTTAGGTCCACTGAGGTGTAGGCTCCATTCAGGCTTCAGCATGTCAATTTGGGAGACATAGGTTTTAGGGCCCTCGTGGTCAGGGATGGGGTCCTCTGAGGTCCTGGTTCTCCAGGCACCTAACTTCTTCAGTCACTCAGCACTCACTTTGACATTAAGCCAGTGCCCTCCCCCAATCCCCTTCCTCCTTTTCAAAGTGAGAGAGGGGTGGGTCTCTGCACATCCATCTTTATGCACATGTTTAGTGGCGTGTTCCAGAAGTCTCTTGGGCCAACTGTGGTGTGTCTCATGATCCAAGCAGTTGTCTCAACAGTGTAAGCTGCTGGTCACCAGGGGACAGAGACTCTGTGGAAGTCATCACTGCTTATCAGTGCAGGCTGGGGGTCACGACTCAAATGAATAGTGTTGGCCAGGGAGTGTCTGCTTCGGGTGCCAGGGGGCGATCTCTGATTTTTATACTTTTTCCTCTCCCATGAGCCTGGCACGCCATCTCTGCCTCTGTGCTTAGTCTAGGCTGTTCCTCTCCCTGCTGGAGATCACAGATTCCGTGAGTGTCCAGTAGCTGCCTTCTCCAGCTCTCCAGCTCACGGGTGCCCCCATGCTTAGCTCCCCTGTATGCAGTGGACTGTGTCCCGCTCATCTTCCTGTGCACTGTTCCCACTTTGGGTCATGGGACGCAGGGCAGATGCTGCAGGTACACTTCTGTGCTGCTGGCACTTGGCTAGTGCTCCACAGATGCCTAAGGATGGAATGAGCAAGCCAACCCCTCAGAGCGTTTCCACCACGTTACTCTGCTGACATGCTGATGGTTGGTTTGCTCCCTTAAACTCAGTTGTCAGTTCTCTACCGACTTCTTCAATCATGTGCACTCAGGATAGCTGGGAAGTGAGTATAGAGAGGAAAGTTGGTCTTTGCTGCTGGCCCATGGGAGTCTCCTGGTCTACAAGAAACACAGCTGTGTTAACAGGTATGGCATATGTAGTATTCTTACATGCTATGTAATAAAGAAAGGGGTGGGGTGACAGAATCATTCAAGCTCTGCGAGATAAGGGCTTAAAGAGCATGGAGAATTTGGTTTGGGTTTTGAAGGTTATAAAGAAGTCCAGCAGGTAAAAAATGTGTTCGATGCATGCAAAGGCTCCAAGTGGCATCGAGGTCTGGCATTTTTGGGAAATGGTAAGATGTCAGGTGAAGGGCAGCTTGTCTGGTTTGAGATGAAGCATGTGTGTAAGTCTAGGAGAGGAAGGCTGATGCCACCATCATGGCACTTGACCTTTGAGTCCACTGTTGGATGAAAAGCAGTCAACACTTTTCACAGGCCCGAAATGCTTGAAGTTCGCTGACCTGTGTTCAGCAGAACCCTTGGGCACATGCTGGGATCTAGGATCACCCTCTCCCTTTTTTCTCCCATGGCCTATTTACTCTTACAGTTCTTTCTGATATAGTTATAAATCTGGTCACTTTTCCCCTCAACTCATGAGCAAGAGAATTAAAATGACAAATCTTTATATGTATTATCCTGTTTTGATACAACTGATATAACTTATTAATTCTTCACACATACACCTTCATAAGTTTTTACTTTCTGCACACTTAGGCCTATTTGTAAGCAGCGTTTTACTACTGATATGACCAATTTATCTCTGTAAAACTTATTTTTGTACTTTTCCAGGACTTCTCTTATTGGACCCACAGGGAGAAGGATTTCCTCCTTCTCAGGAGCATTAAAATCACAGTCTGTGGGTCACTGACCGATGGCTTCGTAGCTAGAAAACAAAATCCTTCACGGTGACTGCTATGGAAGCAGGTGTTTGCCACCAGTCAAGCTCAACTGCTCTGTCAACAGGACTTGGAGCAGGTCCTTGCCGTCTTCACACCTTCACTGACTGTGCCTCAGTTTACCATGAACTGTCTTACCCATCATTAGCATTTTGTATAATTGGAAGGGCCCTGTGGTTTAACCTCTCGGCTTCCAAGGTAACATATAAAATTGTCTATAGTTTTTATTGTTTTCATATAAATGCATTTACCATATAGTTTTATAATTATACAATTACTGACACAAATGCATTTGATTATGCAAATTAACCGTATTTCTTATATAACTAAATGTCCTATCATGTCCATATATTGACTGTCACAAGTCCACTCGTGTGCTAGCTTTGCAAAGCTGACTCCAGTGGATTAGCTTTTGTCTGATCTCTTCTAGGAGCCATCATATAAAGCAGGATGACATTAACTCTACAGTTCTGAGTGACATATTTAATTCCACTACTGCTTCCTCATTGGAGGCATTTAAAAATACTGCTGGTGAATGGAAAGAAGACAAGTGCTGATTGAAAATGTCCAAATAACACAGCAGGTTGATGGATGAGCCTGTGTGGACTCTCCACTTACAAGTCTGGGCTCCCAATGAAAGACTTCTCTTAGTCATCTCTGCCTGCCCGCACAAGGTCAGTTTGCAGTAATAACAGTGCACAGAAACTTTGAAACAGGAGTGCACAGAAGGAAGGTGAGGCTGTGGGAGTAGTGGAGAAAATCGTAACTATCCAAGTAACCTACGTCCATCTCTCACAGTTGTAATTTCTGCTTCTGATTTGGCTGTACGATTCTCCAGTAATTGGCTTTTGAGACAAATTTTAAATTGCTTTATTTCCAATATTCATTTTGGTCACAACATTCAAGAGCAATCAATCCATCTGCTGATCAATAAATAACATGCTGCTGTAAGAAAGGCAACCTAACACAAAACCGATACTGTCAGCAACCCGGAACAACTCTAATTTCCTGACAGAAATCAATGCATGGCAAAACCATGATTATTGTAAATATTTATAGTTCTAAAAGAAAAATTTCATCGATGCTTTTTAACGAGAGCTAGTTTCCAAACGAAAGATGCTGGTGCACACCCCATCTACCTAGTGATGTAGGAATGTGGTGGGAGTATAGCAGGAACTTTATGATCATGCAGGAACTGGCTGTTTCAAACGCTTGGTGGGTACTCTAGGGGATGCTGTGGTAAGTGAAGTGGTAAAAGGGGAAACAAGGACGACAGCGCGGAGAGTTCCACTCTTGGGTGTCTTGCTGTTTGGTACCAGTTAGCAATGCAACCGCTCTGCATACTGCTTTTCTCATCTGTCCTTACAAGGCTGTAAGGATGAAACAAAGGGTAAAAGGTACTTTTGAACTTATGTTTAATAATCTGGTAAATCGAACGTCTTGTAATGACTCCTAAGACTAGGATGAAGGATTCTGAGAAAATGGATGAGGCCTCCTAAAGCTCATTGGCTTCGGGTATTTTAAGACATTAAAATCTAAGTGACAATGGAAAGAAACATAGTCACTCAATATTACTAAGCAATAGGCACTGGGAAAACAAAGAAATACCAGTAAGGACTCTTGGGTTCAGTGGAAGAGGCTGTGCAAACAGGTAAATCCTGAACTTGAGAGGGAGCAAGGCAAGGACGACCTTCAGCTGTCAGACGCAGGCTGGAGCCTCAGGGCACTTGAAGTTTCAAACTGAGCAGCCACTGGGGTGGGGTGGGGTGGTTATTCCAGGAAAAGCCTTAGAACAAGCAAAGACTAACAGTTCTGGGAAACCAAGAAAACAAATCAGTGTGTTTCAACAGTCAACCACTTGTAGTCCGCTTTTATGTTATTACTGTTGCTATGTCTCCATATTATGTATACTAAATTGATTTTTAAAAATGCAAATGAGTTTTTAAAACCATGACTTTCTATTGTTGCCGTAAAGTCACCACTCGTTATAAAATTGAAGCTTATTCTTTAACTATCAGGTTTAGTTCTAGTTTCTGGATAAAAGGGATAAAAGGGGTGACCAGGACGCGATGAGGATAAATTAACGTAAGATAGAAGTAGATACCACATGGAACACTGACGTGAGAGGGTTACTACAGTAGAGAGGAGTCCTTGGAGACGTTATCTGAGTCGGAGACTAAAGCACCTTAACCTCTAAAATGAAAACCAGGACATTACATTTCAGCCCAGAGCGGCTGCTCGCAAAAGCGGGGCACGCTCACACCCAACTGACTTTCCACAAGAAAAGAGATCCAAAGACCAGGGATCGCTCAGGCCGGTCCAATTCCATCGGAATCCACTGAATCTCTGCGAGGCTCCCCGGCAGGAAGTATCCCGCCCAGCGCACAAACACTGCAGGGTGTTTACGAGGCGCACGCTGAAACCACCCTGTGACAAATCAGTAAACCGAAGCAAGACAAGTCCACTCTCAACCCCACAGTAGCAAAGCACAACCCTGGGATATGAAGCCCGAAGGCCGCTTCCAGTCCGGCCAGCAGGAGCCAGGCAGAACCCGGAAGACTGCCACCCTCGCGGCGCTGTGGCCTAGGCGTGGCTCAAAAGGAGAACTAAGGAACGACGGGACGCGAGCATGCGCAGTGGCGGCCTCGGCGCTAGGGGAGGGCTCCCGCGGCGGACGTCGACACGCAGGCGTCGGAGCCGGAGCCCCGTGGGGAGGAGGGCGAAGACTCCATCCGCCATGTTGGATGCCGCAGATTCGCCATAACCTCTCCGGCTCTTTTCTTAAAAAAATAAAAATAAAAAGCGAAGCGTTAGAAGGCCGCCCTGCCTTCTCGGTCGGCACGGGAGGGGACCCAGAAGAACCCGAAGCTTTTTTTTCCTCTGCGGTGTGGCCGTTGCCATGGAGACGCAGGCGGCAGGTGAGCGGGGCTGGGGGTTGGGGCGAGGACGGGGTGGGGGTTGGGGTGAGGGTGGGGGTGGGGCGCGGAGCGCGGGAAGCAGTTCGGAGAGTGGAGTTGGGGTGCGGCGCGCGGGCCGCGGGAGGAGGAGGCATACACGGCCCGGGCAGAGAGCGAGCGGACGGCATGCTCCATGGCGGGCTATATTCCACCGCCAAAAAAAGAAGAAAGCGAAAAAGAAAAAGAAAGAGGGAGCTGTTGGGACAGCAAGCGACGGGGCGCGGTGCGCGCGTGCGCCGGGCCGTATCCAGGGCAACGGGCGGCGTCCAGAAGCGCTTCAGCGACGGCAACTGAGCGCTGGCGTTCCTCCGAGCGGGAGGTTCGAATCCTGATGCTGCCAGCTCTTTGGTTGGGTGTACTCGGGCTGGCCGTGCGTGGGATCAGGTTGCGTCCCTGTAAAGTAGACAGCTCTCGTTACTGCACCTTTGTACTTGGCGAGGGCGTTTTGAAGGGTCGGGATGGTGAAAGAAGTTTGCTTGTGTCTCACCGAGGAGCTGTCAAGTGGGAGAGTAGCGCAGCTTTGGGTAACGCTGTGACAAGCTTAACCGAGTTGAACTTTATCCTCTGGACATTGTGCTGCTCGCTTAGAAGTTACACTAACGTGCTACCTCCTCCAGTTTCCCACCTTCCAGGCTGGAAGTAGCTTCTCAGCCCATGGACCAGCAGAGTAACAGACCTTCCCCTTAACACCAGGTGCTAAGAAGCACCCTGTTTCTTAGCTTGAGCTCGGGGTCCCACGCCTGTAATGAACTCTAGTTTCTGCCCTTGGACAATGAATAAACGCGTTTTGTTGCCCAGCCGTTCCCTTAATTGTGGGTCATTTAAGAGTCACCTTGTAGAGATTGGATTCACAACAGTCAAGACAGCAGAGCTGAGCACTTTTATGCCTAGTTAGTGTTCCAGTTTTGGAACTGTAGTAACAATGTAACATAATATTTTTTCATTCTGGTTCCTTGAATCTTTCTAGGTAACATAATGCACATCATAGGAAGATTAAAAACAAATTGCAATCTTTGGCATAAATGAGTTAAGAATAAGCTTTTCCTGATTCAAAGTAAAATCCAAACTGCTTGGCTTGTGCCTCTGACCTCTTGGGACAGTGTCTGGTCCATCATGGAGATTCAGTGTGATTTGTCTAAGGAAAGAATGAATGGCTGGTGGTCACTTTTGCCCCTTTCAGACTAGTTTCCTTGTTGGAGCTTAGGTGACCTTTTGGGAGCACAAAAATCATGACCTCACGGTTTACCCTCCAGCACTGCCCCTCTCAGAGCCTGGTCATCCACCTGTAGAAGCCTTGATGGTTTCCATGTGCCATGCTGGTGGAGACAGATGCCAGGACCCAGCCCTGAAACACCTTTCCTGACCCTTTTTGTTTACATTGCAGGCAGGTGGAGATCCTAAATAGGCCAGGCAGGAGTAGAGAGGAGAATGAGTCTTTCTTCTGCCCTAGCCACAGTATCCTGGATGCACCAGTGTGCAAGCTTGGCTAGTGGTGTGAGTGAGGGCCCAGAACCAGAGTACACAATATGGAAGACCCGAACACACCAGAGGATGATTTCTTAACAGTAATGACTTCTCAGTGGGGTATGTAATCCTAGCTGTCTGGGAGGCTGAAACAGGAAGATTGCAAGTTTGAGCCCAGCCTGGCCAATTTAGTGACTTTCTCAAAATAACAAAAAGGCTGGGGGTATAGATTAGTGCAGAGGCTTTGGGTTCAATCCTAGTGCTGGAAAAAAAAAGACTTGTCAGTTCGGTACCTTTGTTCTTATATTGAGAATGACCTGCCACCTGTCCTGTTCTGGAATTTGTCTTAGCAATCTTTAAAACGAACCCAGGATATGCGCTCTAATTTTCTAGCAGTAGCAATGGAAAGGATCATTTTGAAAATGTGTTCTTGTCAACTCGTGGCTAGCTAGTTTCTGTATCGACCCCCTGCTCCGATTGTCAGGTTGGCTTGGGAGAAGCAGTGCAGTGCGTGGCAAGGTAAAGCGAGACCTGTGAGGTACAACTGTCATGTGGTGAATTAGTTGGTATGGTCATCTCTGTCACAGTGCTGTTATGTCCTGGATCTCTTCTTTTCAGAGGCTTGTCATTTGCCTGCTTCTTTTTTCCCAAACCTTATAATTTACGTAATCACTTTTCCAATATAGCTATCCTTAAGTAGAATTAAGTTGCTGCCTCAGGCCAAGGTAGTCAAAATTAGATGTATTAGAAAGACTCTCCCTAATTGCATTTCCTTTTATAGTTTCATGTGTGCTGCTTCTGAAACCTTTGCACCAAGATGGGTAGATTTAATTATGTACAGAGATTTTGCCTGGAGTTAAGTTTTCCTTTTCTCAGTTGTTTACCCCAGTAAACTTTCACTGTCTCAAATTCCCCGCAGGCAGGCAGCAGCTTGATGGGTGAGAGACACAGCATAGGGTGCAAAGATCTGCTCCTCATGGGATTGCTGACCCCAGGGATGTCCTGTGGCCTTTGGGACCCCGGTGGACCTAAGTACGACTCTCTGCTATGGAGGCTGGTTTTATATGCAGAATGTGTTTATCCCTTTCTTAATGGGATAAAGTCTCTCCAGGGTGCAGCTCAGTGCTTTGTCATCTACTTGCTTTTTAGAGATCAAAAGGTAGACTAGAATTTGATGATTAATTTTTTTAAGAGAGGAAAAAATCATTTGGGAGTGAAGCAAAATAGACATTTTAAACACGTATTGCACATTTGAAGTTGTCACTTTTTTAAGGGAACATATATAGATCACTGAGATTATAAAAAGATAATGCTTAGCATATTAGTATAACAACAGGAATTTAAGAATTTCTTTTAAAATTTAAAAAATTATAAATTGACAAATTATAGTGGTATATTTTAGGGCGTGCAAAATATTGTGATTTATTAATATGACATGGATTGAACTGAAATAATTAACTTACGCATCACATCAAATATGTCTTTATGGTAAGAACATTTGAAATTTAGTGATTTTAAAAGGTACATTATCCATCTTTATTCACTACAGTGTGCAGTGTATTTTGAAACAAATCAAAACATATTCCCCTGTTTAATTGAGGCTTTGTACCTTTGACCTGTATCTTGCATCCATGCCCAGCCTCTAGTGGCCTCTGCTCTGCCCTCTGCCGCCTTGGGTTCCATTGCTTTAGATGCCACATGGCAGCAGGTGGGTATATCTGGCAGCCATGTGGGATCTAAAGCAATGGAACCCAAGGACTTTCTGTGCTTGCCCTATTTACTTGGCACAGTGTTCTCCAGCTCTGTCCATGTTGTACTAAGTGAAACATTTTTTCTTCATTAAGACTGAATAAATTTCCTGTTGTATATGTGGGCCATGTTTTCTTTCTCTGCTCATCTGTTGGCGGGTACAGATAGATTCCATGACTCAGTTGTTGTGACTGGTGTTGCAGGGAATGACCATTGGGGTGCAGATACCCTTCTTCAAAGTACTGATTTGAAATCTGGGTTCTTTTAAATCATGTAACAGGTAGAGTGGCAAAGCATTCAGTCCTGTAGTGTGCTGGCTTTGTGTCCCTTCTTAAAGGCCATGAAGATATTCTCCTAGGCGTATTGATTTAATTAATTTTGAAACTTCATATTTGCTTTTAGGTTTAGCTATATTGCCACCCATCTTGAAGTAGTTTGTGTAAGGCATACGTTCTGGTCCTACCTTTGAACAGCTCTGAGGCTTGGCCATCTCTGCAGCCACCATCACGTTGTGTAGATGGTCCCTGCAGATCACGAGGCAGCATGGCTGTAAGGTTCCATGGAGGGCATGGTGCACACAACTAGCACCAGCAGATTTTCCTCGTTTCCATTTCTATTTTTTTTTTCTTTTCTCCCTTTCTCCCTCTATTAAGCCTCATCTTTCCCTGAACATCTTATAGTTTTTAATAGCATGTTTGAAAATTCAGTGTATAATGAGAACAATTTGTAATCATGCATAATCATGCATGACACAATGACCCAATCACTTATTGTAATCATGTAGTAATGGGGAAATAAGCTGGGGCCTGGCATTAACTGTCATTCGTGTAGCCTGCTTAGTTGGATGTTTTGCATCATTACTATGATGGCTTGTGTCTAGATGTCCCCCATACAGTCTCATGTAGTCCTTGGTGAGGCTTTTTCAGAGGTGGCTGGATCTAGAGTGTATGATACTGGAATTGATTCATGGTGCAATGCCAGGATCAGGGACACTAGGATTCAGGATGAGTGCCACCCTAAGAAGCCGGGGTAAGATAAAGGGGGCAGAAAGACACTATTAAGGTCCGTGTTGTAGTCAGGGGTAGTGCAGAGAACAATTAGAATCAGGACATGGAGTTTATAACATTTTTATAATGGTCACCGGGAGTTAACACAAGAAAATGCAGGAAATCTATCCACAATACCAAAGATACAGAATATTTATTCAAGGGCCTAAACCCCACAGCAATGTCCCACATGAGTCCAGATGAAAACCCAGAGCTCATGACAGTGCCTCCCATGAGTCCAACTGGAGGTCCAGAGCCCACAAGAAGGAATCGCTCCAGTCTCTTTACAGATCCATGCTGGGAAGGCCCAAAGGTCAGCGGCAGAAGCCAGAAAGTCCATGCCAGCAGGGTGAAGGAGCTGTGCTGGTGGGATGAGGGTTCTGTGCTGGAGCTGTGAAGTCACACTTACAACAAAGACCAGGGCTGTCCTGAAAAGCACCACAGCCATCCTTAGTGACACGGAGGCCCCGAGCTCCTCCAATGACAAGCACAGTCAGGTACATGCTAGGAATCAAGTGTGACAAATTCATCCTGGAGACCAAGAGGCACATGTCTTTCTCTCTGGAGCCAGGAAGCAGTGCTTGATGTGAAGATCAGAGCTTCTCCAGGAGAACCAATGGGCTCAAACAGCAACTCGTAGGAGAACCCACAATGCCTCAGTGCAACAACACATTAATGCCCTTCTCCTTCTCCACCTCTATT